CCAGCCAAGGTCAAACCACTGCACTATCCTAGTTGAAAACCATTAAAATCAGACTGTTAAATTTGTGACTAGGCTTTTCCAGCTAATATTTTATCCCTGTTGCTTTTTTCATATACATAAAACCCCAACCCATTAAACAAAAATCAATCTATCTATGGACACTCAGTTACAGATTTTGTCAGCAACCAATAAGCAACAGAAATTCAAAACCCTCAGTAACTAGGTGAGGATTGAGCTGGAAATGATTAGTCTAGGTGAGTGGACTCAACACTTTATCTAGGCACAGGGAAGGGAAAGAAAAAACAAAGAGGAAAGAGTGAAGAATCTACTCTCCAAAGTTACAGACATCTGTAAAACCATGACAAGGCATGAACTGATTGATAGCATCTAAACCACCTGTAAGAAAGCAAGAGGTCACCCTTATAGAGTGGTGGCTCAAGATGGCAATTAAAGTATTACTTTAATTTCACTGTACTTTAATTTCACTGGTTGTGATTTCACTGCTTATCACTACAGAGCTGTGGATGGGTGCCCTTATTTTCCAGTGCCTGTGCAAAGAACAGCAACTATTTAGAGTGAATCAAAGAGTTAGAAGATTAGTGGGCAGATGCACAGCCTGATGGAGCATCCCAAGCCATTTCTGCTGAAGCAGAAAGCGCAATGCCAAACCACTGCTCTACCCCAACACTCCCACTCCAAACAATGAGAGCTGTCATTTACAGCAGCAGCTCAAGAAGGCTGATATTACTGCCTTCCACCCTAAGCAAGACCAGCTAAAACTAAGCCATACCTGCTCTGGTTATTTTTACTTTGCAAATTCAGGCTTTCTTTTGCCACTTGAAGACTATTAAAAGTAATTGCAGATGTTTCCACCTGATACAGGAGTGAGGGTTCACTATGCCTCTGCTTATGCACAGGAAACCATCACTACTGTGAGGGTGTCAAACACTGGGACAAAGCCCTAAGATGCTGTGATAACTTCATTCTTGGAGACATTCAAGACTGGGCTGGAGAAGTCCCTGAGCAATCTGCTCTAATCTGTTTTCAGCAGCAGATTGAACTGGAGACCTCAGGAATCCCTCCTCACTTAAATTACTTTATGATAGGAACAGGAAGAGCACACAGTCCAAATGTCTATGCCACTTCCTTGTGTGGTACTTCAAGTAAACCCCACTAAGGATTTGCTCCAGAGATACCACCTGGAGCAAAGCATCCAGTTCTGGGTCTCCAGAGGAGGGCCATGAAGAGGGGGGTCAGAGGGGTGGAACATCTCTCCTTGTGGAGACAGGCTGAGACAGTTGGGGCTGTTCAGCCTGGAGAAGAGAAGGTTCTGGGGAGAGCCTACAGTACCTTCCTCTACTTAAAGGATGCTACAAGAGAGTTGCAGAGGGCATGGAGTGCCAGGACAAGGGCTGATGTCTTTAAACTGAGAGAGGGTAGATTTAGACTAGATATTAGGAAGTGATTTCACTATGAGGGTAGTGAGGCACCAAACAGGTTGCCCAGGGCAGTTATGGATGCCCCATTGCTGTAAGTGTTCAATACCAGCTGGATGAGGCTCGTCTAGTGGAAAGTGTCCCTGCCCATGGCATGGGAGTTGGAATTAGATGGTCTTTATGGACACTTCCAACCAAACCCTGCTGGGATTCTATGACTAATTTCATAAATATGCTCCCAATTAAGAATAATCTTTGTGAGGTTACAAGCAAAACATGGTACAGTTTGTACAGTTTCCTTGATTAAATAGCTACCATAAGACTGTAAACCTTAATTATTAAGCCCTGGTATTATTAGATATTAGCTTTATTCATTTAATTAGAAATTAAATGCAAAATTTAAAATAATAACATATTTTTAAAAATCATAGTTTTTAGTTATGCACCTTAACCTTCCATTCAACAATGCCACTTTATTTAAACAGTACGACACAAACAACCTAACAGATTGGAGTATGGTACATTCTCTTGATGTGAAGTTGCTTGAAAAACTCTGTTTTATACACCATGTGCAATTGCAGAACATATTTTAAGATCATGCTGCTAACTGAGATAAATTTGTTTGCACTTTCAACTTTCCTACCTTCTCTAATATTTTAGGGTTTGTTTGATCTCGTTATCATTCTGACTGTAGAGAACATATTTGTTAAGATTCTGCCAATCTGCACATTATCAGGACACTCAAGAAGCAATTGGAAATTGGAAATGCAGAAAGAGCCTTTCTCAGTACAAGGAACAGACTTTTAGTTCTTAAAAACACACACAAAAAAATCCGTCCTAAACGCCTCACACTAAGCCTGCTCCTGTCAAACCCTCCAAGAGATAATGATGCTATTGTTTTGTCTGGAAGGGAAACTTTTGAGTGTGATGGACAAAACAAATCACTTTGAGGAAATGTCTCTATTTAGCACTTTGAAGTTTATGTAATTACACTCAGGTATCTACCCACAACCATTTGTTCTACCATGTTTAAAATTATGTGGCATAAGAAATTTCTGTTGATGAATCTACTCTTCACATCCAGGTATGACTGACTGCATGCCAGGATGTTGCTAACCACAGTATTTTACCAGTAGAGGCACAGAATTGATTTGTCCTGGCAAGAACAGTATAAATAAATCTTGCTGAAAATCCAGTGGGGTGTCTCTAGACAGTTTATGGCTCAGATCTAACAGCCTATAAGTCACTGCCCTCCTCACTCTCATGGAACACAAATTTATTAGAGCATTTGGAAGGAGATTATTGAAACCTTCCAAAGGAATGCATTTTTTCATCATTCGCATCCAGGACCCCAAATTTCTGACAAACCTGTAGGCTACATGTACCCCTAACTGGGTAGGCTACATGTAAGACTGAGATCAGAATAAAAATAAAATTCACTCCTCTCTGTGAGCTTACTGTATAACTGTGCTCTTGTCTTTCCTAGCATTTATTATTCATACTAATTGTGATTTTGATAGAAGAATTACATGATTTGGGTAAACATGCAGGTTTACCACACAACTAAGTGATGATCTACAAACAGGTACAGGTAGCACTGAATCTTAGAGATCAACTATTAGCTAGAAGAGAGCAATAGAAGTTGGCACTTCTGTGGGGGGTGGGAAGGGCATCAGTCTTTCAGACTATGCCAAAAAATCTACAGCCTTCCTGGATGTCTCAGTAAGACCTACTTGCGCTGTGAAAGTGAGTTGGGAGGCTGATACTCACAAAAAATTCTGTTTTATTCAGGCATTAAAATGATGTAGACAACAAATTCATGTCAAAATTGTCTCAAGAAAAGCCGTGGGTCTATTATCATTAAAAGAATGCTGTAATTACACAATACAGCTAAACAAGAGTATAAGCTCCATGTGTACAGCCTGTGCTGTAGGATTGTCAACTCTGCAGTCTTCATAAAGGCTTGACTTGGATGACAATTCCAGTGCTACTATTCTGGAATTTCCTAAATCACTTTTAAATTCTATAAAGGCAAAAAAATAGAAAAGGCGGAGGAAGGAACATCACCAAAAAAAGACTAAATATGAGATCAGAGTCCTCCAAGCTACAATACTGTGAACAGAATTCACACTGTTATTTTTTCTTGGTTACCATTAAAATTACACTGCAAACAACCCAGCTGTGTGCTATTTATAGCCATCAAATCATTATAAAGACATTTATGCTACAGGCAGCAGCAGTGACATTTCCCCCCCCCTTCTTTTTCAAGCCAATTAAGCAAGAAGAACATTATAATAACATTTTGCTTTGTTTCCCATTCCCCTTGGTGTTATAGGATAGCCTATTTCCATTGATCAAGACCACAAGAATTCTGTCAAAAGGAACAATTCACTGTAAATATCCTGAATACCAAAATCTTTATTTTGAGCTTCCAATTTAGTAAATGCATATATTTCATATTATTTCTCTTGCTGAGAGGACTTTTCCTCATCCAGCATGTGTGGCCTAACAGCTGTGGGAAGAAAATCAAAGTGATTCCTGTGTGGGGGAGCTGAGTGAGGAGCAACAAAAGGTGAGAAAACAGGGAACCAAAGCTTTGCAGCTTTTTCCATGACACGCTGTCCTGTTCATAATACAAACTTATGTGGAAGCATTGCAAAGGAAAATCTAAACAAAAGCACTTCCTGCTCTTGGCACACAGCATGGGGAACAAATTTACACTCAGCTTAGTGAAATTTGGCATTGCCATTATGGACAGAGCAGAAATCTGTGCGATGAAACTCTGCATGACAAAAACTCTGCCAGTCTGAAATAAACAGTTATGCCTGGAACGCTGCAGTGTGCCACAGTCAGCAGTATGGGAATTCACCACAGAGCTGGCTATGATGACATCTAGATATTGATCTTGTGGGTAGGACTCATCACTCTTAAATTTAATAGTCAAAAAAGTTAAGTATCTTCCCTAAGCCAGCTGTCTAGACTCTCTTGACAATAGATGAGGAAGGACAGGTATCTCCTGAAGACAATTTATCCTAATCTAGGAAAGGTGTCTCAGGCAGAATGAATCAATGGTTGGAACTGTCTGTTTCTCTCCATTCAACTTAAGATGGAAATCAGAAGACTAACTTAGTCTAGACACCTAACTTTTAGATGACTGAGAGTCAGGGAGATGAATCCAACCCTATCTCTCTATTTGCCACATCACCAGGCACTACCTTATGTGAATCAAGTATAGTTCTAAGCCTTTCTTGGACTTTGAACTTGCTTTAAATCCCACGCAATGTTAGGAACAATAACTTTCTTCAAAGTCAGTCTATTTTCCAATGCCCAGTGAGCATGGGCTTTCAGTGTCCAAGGCCAATCACTGATCTTCCATATCCTATAAGCACTGGCTGACTTGAAGCTGTACTACAGCAGTAAAACAAACCAGCAGAAGTTCTCAATTATCCCATCCAATTAAGAATTTTGCCACAAATCTCACCCATCAGTCACTCAACAAAGAACATATATCATACATATACAAAAAAAATGAGCAACAAGGGGGAAAATGGCACTGACACTTACTTGTCCAAGTGTGCACTCCATGCCACCGAGGAAATCTGCTTCCTTCAGCCCATTGTGATTGCTGCTAATGTCATGGACTTCAAACCGCAATCGCTGCACCTCTTCAAAATAGAAGTCCACCGTGAACAGCTTGGAGAAGACGGGATTTATACAGGTTCGGATCACTTCTGTCCTGTCAACCTGTCACATCGAAAAGAGGTCACATGAGTGGCTTGTCTTCCTATCAGTGGTGGACAGCCATGAGCTCCTCAAACACACTTTGCTCGTTTATCAGGACTGACAGCTGGGACTGTGGCCATGGACAGTCCTGTTTGCACTGCCAGCAGCAGCTCCCTTTCTGCGCTGGGCTGACCACAAGCACAAGACCACCTTCCCTTGCCTCTCCCTTCCAGCAAGTCTTTAGCAGAATAACTGGGAAATAAACTACAGAATAACTATAGAATTTACATCTCCAGCAGTACCCATCCATCACTACAAAACAGCAGCAGAGTGATACTGTTTTATCAAACTAAATGGGGAAGAGCGTAACACCGCCAGTAATTACTCATTTCAGATAATTTGCATGATTAAGGAGTGGAGAACTGGATCCAAAGCAACAGCTTTTCTTAGAAATACATACATTTTTCCATCCTGCTAAGTTGCATCACAAGAATCTGATGGGTTATACACTGTTTATTCCTACCTCTGAATATTAAAACTTCTAAAGAAACATCATTAAATCTGTATTGCTACTTCTTAAAAAAATAGTGCTCAAAGATTACTTTCTAGTTCTCTTAAGATGTAGTACTTGGGCTTCCTATTTTTGAAATAGGCATTTGTTATTTTTCATTATGATGCATCGTTGGTGACAACATAAGCAATGAAGCAATTTCCTTTTTCCCACTCTCTTTGCCCTGGCACAGAAAAAAACTTAATAATTCTGTAAGATTAAAGGAACTGATCCTGAAATGAAGTAGGACTTGGTCACATCAGTGACTAGATAGGAGGTGGCTGGTGTGCCATGGAGCAGACAAATTAAATTGCTCAGAGGAAGAGTGATGAGATCCTTTGTCTGATTCCTGATCAGGAACATCTGTTGTGCAAAAAATGACAGCCGCTTGCTTCGCTTTTCAGAGTTTATAATGCATTAGCCTTTCTAGTAGTTATCGGCAAGGACACAAAGAGTCAAGCAAATCAAAAGCAGGTTAAGAAATGAACAGTTCCTGGTAGAACAGATTTATTTTAGTGCTCATCAAAGGTGTCAGATTGACAGGCGAAATCCTTTAGCTAATCATCAAACAGATGCTACCACTCTTGGAATAGATGCAAACCAGTGTTACCATTGCTGCCTCCTCACACAGCTGTGTCAATGTGCTCTGACTGTGCCAGGATGAGACCATCACACAGAGGAAAGAAAGCAACCTTACTTACGTATTTATTCTTAATAAATTTGCACAGATTACCTGAAAATTATGGGTTTGACATCAGTCGTGCAGAGAATAATAAGAATAATATAAGGTGAGAAAGGATTCCAGCCGCCTTCATTCAGCTGCTGGTCTATCTCAAAATTTTTTTGTTATCTCCACTAGCAATCAGTATGACTATTACTGCTACAAGGAGAACTATTTCTTACGTCAGATAATGATGATAATGATAATGATCAGTTCACTGAGACATTCCTGAGGCCTCTTCTAAGTGAAAAGTGATCTGATTCAATTCAGAACAGTGGTCATCTCATGAACTAGTGCTTCAGCAGACCCAATAATAAAAATATTTAAATGAATGGTTTTAAATATTTTTCATAGCCACAGCAATCTCCTAAACTCATTCCTTGTGTAAAAACTGCTAATTCAATAGCATCATTTTAATCGCTTCATTGGTCCAGGAGATCTCAGGCAGTAACTGAAGTTTCTGTTACTGTTTCACCTCATCTCTTCCTTTCTGCTGGAAAGAGTTCTCCACTGTGAAATACATCAAGATTTACACTTGCACTCAACACAGGTTAAATATGTGGCTGCTCAAGGGAGTAAAGTGCCTGAAAATGGAGGCACAGGTCTTCACACAGGGACATTAAGAATTTCAGTCTCACACAGAGATAAGACATTGTTTGCTTTTTCCAGCCTGTGATTGACTGACATCCTTCCCTTGACAGACACCGTACTGAAATATAGCCATTTCACTGAATTTCCCCAGCCTTCCCACATTATTGAGAAGATACATCAAGCCAGCATGTCAGAGCATGGGATTACATGAGAAAAATCTGTATCGAAAGAAGCAATGCCAACAGCTCCACAAGCAATAAAAAATTCTTTGTGCCTCCCTCAGCCATCAGCTATAGCATTAACTCCTATTAGTCCACCTTGCCCCCAGTCTGCTTTGTCAGCATATTTCACAGTTACCCTACCCTTGGCTAGACAGCTGGGAAGCACCCTCAGCATGGGAAGCCCGGCTCCATTCCCTGGCTTTGATTACTGTGCAGCAGAGCTGAGCACTGAGGACCAGCTGGAGTGACTTGTGATGAAGAAGCAGTGGCAAACAGAACAGCTCAAAAAATTCCTCAGCTCTCACGGAACATCCTGGTTAGGAGATGCTGCATAAACACAAGGTATAATGCCCACTTGATTCCTGCCACCTTTTAAAGGCTGTTCTTTCTTCAGTATTCTTGCTCTCATATTCAATGATAAAGCCTTAACACTCTATTTAGAAATGCTGGATAAGCGTGAAACCTTAATGAAAACTGGTGAAAATACTATTGCCAAGTGCAGTTTCATGCTGATAACCATCAAAAAGTTCATGATCTATGGGGCTGCAGACACTTGCAAAAACAAAACAAAACAAAACAAGACAAAAACCCCTGACCTGGTTTTGACCACAAGTTACCCTAATACCTGCAGGACCTGTTTAATTTCAATCAAAATATCACCATATAAAAATATCATCCTCCATGCTGACCCAAAATACAGGTTCATAGCAGTCTGAAAAGATGTCATCCTCAAGCCATGTGCCCTTAATCCTGCTGTCACTCAAAATCACTTACAGCACTTTCACTTATATGGATGATGAAGACTCAAATACTTACTTCCACAGTTTAGGTTTGCCCAGCCTCATTAACTGAACACTCATGAGAGTTACAATTTCTCATCATAAATGTTTTCCAAAATGTAATGAAGAACACTAAATCTCCATTACTTTTGGGGAAGTCAGCTTTAAAGTCCAACAACAGTATGTTGTAAGTGAGTGGAACTTACACTTTTGGTCTTGTTACAGAAAACCCTAATCCTGAGGAGAGGCAGATTTTTCAACAGGACATGGACAGGGGTCATGCCCACAACTTCAGGATTTGCTGATGCCTGACATATGAGCCATCTGTTATTTTGGGACTTTGCTAGAACACAGAATTTCTCCAACTCACTGAAGCAGAGCAAATTTTCAAAAGAAACAATTGACAGCTACATACACCTTTGGGCTGTGTCAAGAGGTAAAACTGACCTTAAAAAGAGCAGCGTTCATCTGACACCACAATCCGAACATCTGCTTCATGGTGCAGCTTCATCTGCACTTTCCCTTCAAGGACAATTTAAACAGAGGAAAGGACTTGCATCTTCACCTCCTGGGATGGACTCACACTGCTTTCCCTCTTCATCTCTTTAGGTCCTTGTCACTTCACAGAAGGTGGCACCCTGCTGAGTAGCCAGGATTACTTGGCAGGCCCATCTGGATGCAGCCACCCTGTGAGCTTCCCCTTGGGGAACTATGAATGACATACAAACACCAAAGTTGGCATCCACAGTGCAAAGTGCCATCAACAGCAGGTATTAAAATATAGGAAAGAAAACTGGCCTTCTGAATCCTCTTGTCAAACTCACAGGGAGTTGGAAGCTGAATTTGAAAGCTGTTTTCTCTCTGTACTGTGGACATGCATGGACAGTTGTCAGAAATGTTTGCCTATTTCCCTGCTTGCCCACCATCACTGCTAAAGAACTGTAAAACTATCTTTGCAGCCAGATAGCATCAAATTAAAGAAGGCACAAAGGACAGATGAACAAATACTAAAATCAGGCTTCTTATGGTGTTCATAACTTTTGTCTGTGATTTGCTGAAAAGCAGTGAGTTTTGTAGAACTGTGATAAATATGGTATCTTCACTGAGGAAGCAGTTCTTTATGCTAGAAAGAAAAATCACTGACAAAGAAGTAATTCAATGGTTGAAGTATCAACTAAGGATCTCCATTCCATCTTCCACCATTAGTTGAGAAGTGAAGCCAAGAGAAAAGATCTAGCCCAAGGGGGATTTTTTTATCTTCTTCTATCAAAATTAGATGAAGTTTAAGCTATTGCATATACAAGGATGAAGATAAATCCTACAAAGATTACATAGAAGCTTAGTGTCACCTGGTATCTAGAGCTTTCAAGTGATCATAAAAACAACTTTCTCATTACGTCCTTGGGAATCAGGAAAATGGGGAATTGTCTACAGGACCCAAAGCTCTGCACCTCGAGGCCGTGCTTGAGTATTTAGTACAGATCAGTGATGTGGAGAACTCCATATCCCACACAGGTAATTGGTACCTATCTGCTCTCCACGGTATTTCTAGCAGACATGCAAGTAGCACAAAAGAAACACATCTTCACCGGTTGTTTCTTGGCATCTTTAAGGTGAAGAGCAGCCAAGGGTCATGAAGAACTCACTGTGTTCTCACCAAAAGGACAATTTTGGGGGGGAAATTTTAATCAGGCTCATGAAATGGTATAGCTGCCTCATGAACTAAGGAAGATCTTTGGTCTACAAAATGATGGTCTGAAAATTTATACAGGTGCTGCAGTTCCTTCAGTGTTTGTTGTAAAAAACTAGTTGAAGAGCCATAAAATTTAAAATTCCTTTAAATACAAAATGTGTGTGCCACCAGAATGTGCTTTTTGTGGTTGTTACATTTTTAGCTATTTCTTAGTCTAACAAATTGACCCATTGTTCCTTATACATTTTAGAGGCCAACAAGGGAAAACCAACAGGCTCTATTTTCTGTAGAAGTCATTATAAAATGCTGATTAAATCTAGTAAAACCACATTTGTCAGCTGAGATGACAAAAAGTACAGAGGTGAAGGGGTAGCATATTTTTAGGTCATCTGAATCTTAGCAAGATGGAAAATTTCCATGATACAGTACCTTAGATGAAATTTTGATACCAAGCAGAAAGCAATTT